TTTTTTTTAATATGTAGATGGATTCATACCAAAACTTTTTTTTGACAGCCATGTAAAGGCAAAAAATCCTGAGAATAACTTCAGATAACTTATCGTTTGACTAATTCATGGTTACCTAAACCAATTGAACTTAAGTGTTAAGAAAAAATATGCATCTTTTACAATAAACTCGTTCCTCTCTGTCCTATTAGAATTCAACAAAATTACAGAGAGATGCTTAACTAATGAGGTTAATGAATTCATTTGTTGCTTGCTTGTAAGAATTTGCTCTCTATATTTGTGAAAAACATACCAGGCGTGGATGCAGTGAGTTGGCTCTGAGGGAAGTGGCTGAAGACACTTTTTTTTGGTCTGACAGTGTTTTGATAAATTGCTTATACTGTCTGTCTTACTGACAGATTTTGTTCAATGTACAGGCAGTACAGAGACTGTAATCATTGATTTCAGTATGATACAACCAATTGTCTGATTCACTTTCGTGACTATGCGTCCCTGTTAAGTATGAAAAGCCCCACTTTCATGTAAACAAACCTCAAAAGAGAGCAGACCAGAGGAGAGAGGCAAAACTCTTCACACACAGAGAGGTTTTGCATGACATTTCTTGCCTGCAGCATCAGACATAACTATTGGCTGAAATTCCAGTGCTGGAACAATAAAATGAATTTAATTGATATGCTTATCAGCCACGGATACATTTTTCATCCCTAGTTCACGCTTATGCAGTTAAACACATTCACACTTGGAAACTGCCCTCTAAAATCCTGACCCAGTGGATCTATACTGGCAGCTGAGCAGCTCTGTCTGAGCAGGAACAGTTTAAGGGCCTTTGTCAAGAGCATCTTCGTGGTTTTAATGTGAAAGGAGCAAATGCTGTTTTTATGCTTTACCCATCCACATTTATTTTGTCCATCTGCAGAATGGAACAGTGACCATTTAGTCACAAGGCCGCGTGTTTAGATAATCGCTGCCAAAATAGTGAAACCTGTAAAATATGAGACAAAAGAAATAGTTATTGGAACATTTAACTTTCCAAATGTGATCACTTTTTGGGTTTTCTATCATTGCTGTTTTCACAGTGACAAGTTTATTAAAAAGTATCCATCCATCCATTATCTATACACCACTTAATCCTCACTAGGGTCATGGGGGGCTGGAGTCTATCCCAGCTGACTCAGGGTGAAGGCAGGGGACACCCTGGACAGGTCACCAGTCTATCACAGGGCTACACTTAGAGACAGACAACCAAGCACACTCACATTCACACCTACGGACATTTTAGAATCACCAATTAACCTCAACATGTATTTGGACCTTGTGGGAGGAAGTCAGAGAACCCGGACAGAACCCACGCTGCACAGGGAGAACATGCAAACTCCACTCAGAAAGATCCAGGGTGTCCTCACCAGGACGCGAACTGGTGACCTTCTAGCTGCGAGGCAACGATGCTATCCACCGATCCACCTTGCAGTCCCATTTTTCCTACAGAATAAGAAATTTGTTTTATGTTTTTAATCTATACAGGTAATTTATTTATAATAAAAGTAATTAGCAGATATTTTTCACTTTAATGATATTTACTTCTAGCGGCTAGAAGTATCTATCTAGCTAGAATCTAGCCCCAACCGGAAATAAGCCAAAATATTGTTGTTTCCAGTTGATTATTTTCACCTGCACATTTTAGTGAACTTGTCATCCCTTTTGTCAGACACATTTTTAGTAAGTTTTCATCAGACTCAGGCTCTAAGATGTTTTCCTTCATGACGTAGATGAGTTGGACAGCTACATGTACCAGACAGTGGGCCACCAGGCTATAGAGCTGTATGCTGACGCCATGGAGTTGCCTCTGTACAGACGCACCATCCAGGGGTCCAGCCTGGACACCAGCAGAAACTACAGTGAGACAGAAGGGGATGAGGTGGAGGATCTGTATCAGCTGCTGCTCCTCGTCAAGGTAGGTTTATCTGTTAAAATATTTTGTTATCCTAACTGTGTGGCAGTGAGAAGAGTTGCTGCTGGACGTTTAGGTTTTCAATCCATGTCTTCTAATCAAGAGGCCCTAATACTGGAGGACTTCATGGCATTTTATTTTCTGCACAGTATTCTTTTTTAATTTACTTTATGTGCCTTTATCATTAACATCAATAAAGCATCAAGGCTCCATCACCACTGTAGGTATCTGTAATATTTTTTCAGTTTGAAATACAAAATGAGTAGAAACAGTTTAACAACGTAAAGCAGAAAAAGAGTTGATCAGTTTACCGCAACTTTTTAACATTAACAACCAGTTGACAAATTTTATACTTAAAAGAAGCAAAGCAGCATGTGCATCCCACTGCTGTACCCGTCTACTAAACTGTATTAAACTGAAGTCCATGTTCTTGCGTTAGCTTTGTTGTGGTTTGGTGGTTCTTTTGAGCAGCACACATTCACAGTTCCACTACGTCTTGGATTGGTTTGTTAATTAACAAATCTATTTTAATTATGCGCATGTAAAGGAATGCCCAAAATGATGTGCTGTTTGTGCACAGGCACTCTCATGCATGTTTACAAACCTACTTTTGCACAAATATAGTGAACAAGCTCTCAAAGCACTACCATACGAACTTATCATTTCAGCTTATGACATACAGAGCATTCAGAAAGTATTCAGATTGCTTCAGTTTTTACACATTTTGTTATATTGTTGTGTAATGTTAAAATCATTTTAATTCATTTTTACCCCGGTCAATCTATAATCAATATGAATTAATGGCAAAGCAAAAACAGATTTTTTGAAAGTTTTGCTAATTTATTACAGAAGAAAAAATAAAATAAAGTTTACGTAGACATAACCATTCAGACCCCTTACTATAGCACCAAAAATTGAGCTCAAATGCCTCCCATTTTTCTTGATCACCTTGATTATTACCTTATAGCAATCCTTTTTGTTAATTCATTAAACATGATTTGGAAAGATCACAAACCTTTCTACATTAGGTCTCACAGCTGACAGCAGCTTTTAAAGCAAAAACTTAGCCATGAGGTTGAGGGAACGATATGCAGAGCTTGGAGACAGGATTTTATCGAGGCGTAGATCGGGGGAAGGATACAGAATTTTTTTTTTTTTTGCCTCATTTAAAATTCTCAAGAGCAAAAGAGCCTCCATAATTCTTAAATATGAGAAGTTTGGAACAACCAAAACCCTTCCTAGAGCTGGCCAAACAGAGCATCAGAGGAGAAGAACCTTAGTTAAAGAAAGAAACTGATGGTCACTCTGGCAGAACACCAGAGATCATGTGTGAGGATGAGAGAAACTTCCACGAAAGCCATCACTGCAGCATCCACCAATCTGAGTGGCCTGATACAAGCTTCTTTTCAGTGAAAGACACATGGAAGCCCACTTGGAAAAAAAGCACCAGATTGTGAAAAACAACATTCTCTGGCCTGATCAAACCAACATTGAACTATTTGGAGGAATTTTAAGTGTCATGTCATAACCTTCCCCAACCCCATTCCAGCATGGTGGTGGCAGCATTATGCTATGGGGGAGTTGTTGAGCAGCAATAACAGTGAGACTGATCAGAGCAAAATGTAGAGATTTCCTTCATTACATCTACAACAGAGTGTTCAGGATGGCACACAGGGTAATGACCCAACGCACACAGCCGGTACAATACTGAAAGAGCTTTTGGACAACTCTGACTGTCCTTGAGTGGCCCAATCAAACATCTCTGGAAAAATGTAAAAAAAAATGACTGTTTACTGATGGTTCCCTTCCAAACTTGACAGAATTTTAGATTGTTTGTAGAGATAACGGCCTAAAATCCTGAAATCTAAACTTGTCGTGTCATGAAGAATCAAGACTGTTATCGTTGCCAAAGGTGCTTCAACTAACTACTGAGTAGACGCTCTGAATGCTTATATCAATGTGACAAACATAACAAAATGTGAAAAAGTGAAAAGATCTGAATACTTTCTGAGTGCACTTTATGTCACACTGTTCACACTTTTACAAGTCCTCCTGTACAGATTCAGCGTCACTTCATTGCCCATCATGCTGTCTCACAGAAACCTTGCCTGCAGAGCAATCAATCTACCTGGGAGAGATTAAAAAGCCATGTTACTGCTTTTAGCCTGTCTTATTTAGTATGTCTTAATTTCACTTTCAAAGTGGAGTAAGTTTTCTTTTTATCTTACTCTGGAAAAATAGTGCGCCTGTTGTATCAGTTAATCAAAGTTTTATGTGCAAAGTTGGAGAGAGGTGCCCTTGAACAATGGCTTCACAGGAAAAATTCAATTCTTTTTTTCATCTCACTTGACAGAAGATCAGATGCAAAAATTAATCACCAAATTAATATTTCATCAAATACCACTTTTGCCAGGACACTGAGAAAATATTCATTTGATGCCAAATTATGTATGAGACCTCGGTGGTCCAGTGTGGTACAGGGTGGCTGACTGACAGGTTTGAGATAACCGCGTGTGTGTTTAATACACCGCTGGCGCTGCCTGCCTACCTGACCGCCTGCAGCCATGAGAAAGCTACCTGGACACACATTTCAACAGCAGCAAAAGCTTTCCCTGCTGTCAGCGCAAACAGGGTGTGGGATTGATCCTGTGTAACACTTTATCCCCCCTGCACCCCTGTACAAACTCTTATTTCAGCTGGCAGCATCAAAATTTAAGCGCTTCTTGTGGGATTGTGGATAGGAGTTTGTTGTTGAGATGGGAGTTGGCTTGGTTCGGTGTAAATGAGAGGCGTGGAGTGGGGGGTATGCACGGTTCCTCCTGTAGGTCTGTGTGGAGACATGTTTATCTGGAGCTTAGGACTGCTCCAGGGCCCATGCATGTCCACACACTGCCTCAGTGGCAAGGGCCAGTCAGCCTGCCTCAGGGCATTTCGCACCCTCTGCCTGACTTTCTTTGCCATCTTCTGTGTAAATCGGCAGCTTTACGCATGCAGCTACATGAGAGAGTTCTTGATTTTGTGTCTTCTTGTGAGTGCAGAAACATTCACGCAATCTAATTTCTAGTTTTTGGCTTCGTGTGAATATTCACGGTCAAATATTAGACATCTCTGTGTTATGTGATGCAATATTCCATCTCTGCCTGTGGTCAGGGCTCTAATTGCAAAGGGCTGCTAATTTCCCATTTCCAGGGCTTCTCTGGTCTGACCTCACCAGTCAGACAGGCCATAGATCAGGGCAGTTGGGCTCCCATGGGGGGCCTCGCCGGCGAGCAGACCTCCAGTCGTCTCCCCGTTTACCCCTCTTACCATCATCAGCAGACCTGCACCATAAACAACAGGCTTCCTCTCTCGCTCACTGAGTGACGGCAGCCATACGAATACAACTTTTTTTTTTTTTTTTTAATCTCAAATTTCAAGTTGCTGCTCTGTGAAGTTGCTTTTTTGACATTCTCATTAATCGATAGGTTGACTAACTTGTACCATTTGTTCTGTACGATGCAAGGTAGTAAACCCATGTGAGTTATTCCATTCTCTGTAATTAGAAACTTACAAAATTCTGTCACACTGAGTCAGACATTGTTTTAAAAAGTCATAGATTATGGTCACATTCAGTCAAGTTCAGTACATATTTCAAGTTTATTTCATTTCTAAAAAATAAAATAAAAAACATGTTTTTACGACTATAAAGTTCCGGGTGTTGTTGATTAGTGAAAGAAATGATTTGGGGGGATGGGGGAGGGAAGAGTGGGGGAAAAGAAAAAACACTTCTTTTTGATAATGAGCTGTTAAATCACCATTGCTGGGAAAGAACAGTTTTAGAATGAAAAAAATGCATTCTGTTTGGAAAGTGTGATATTTTGAAAGATTCTTTCTAGCAGTTTGAATTAATTAGAAGTTACAAGATTATATTTGGCAAATGACACTTGAGCGTAGATGAAAGATTTTTTCTTTTTTTTTTTTTCTCAGATCCAAAGTTGATGAGTTTTAAGTGGATTTTCTTCCCTCCTCCTTCCTTTGCAGTGTTGGCAACAGACTTGTAGCATGAGCCAACAGTGCCATCTATGGATCGTTCCTATTATCTGACGGACCAAACACACTCCGTACACTTTGGCCTCTGAGAATGTTTGGAGCCATTCAAAAGATTCAAAGGAAGAGATCATATTCTTCAGAACCATTGTTGATAGAGGAAAAAAGCCCAATTATAATAGAAAAAAAATGAGCTATCCATTCCCTGGCAGTAGTGATAATGGCAGAATGACAATGTGGCCCTATCCTTGGCCCCTTTGCTCTCATCGCTGGCTGTGTATGGCAGTGTTTCTTTGAAGTGTGTAACCTGATAGACATGCAAGCCACACCGTACCTGGTCCCATCCTGCTAGGTGCTGATCTTTGAACCTGCTCTTTTGAGAGGGAGAAATAACAGTTTTGGTGGGGCGCTTTCAGATATCTAAAGCTTAAGGCTATATTTTCATAGATGACATCTTTGTGTCCTCTGTTAGGCTGGAAAACTAATAGAAGCATTATATTAAAAGATAAGTGTATGTAACTGTTAAAGATTTGTGGTTTAAATTTAAAATACTCACTCTTTCTTCGTGAACACGCGTCCGTGTTTGTGTGGATTTCTTGAAATTTGATTTTGTAGGTTGTGTGTCCATCCTTCATTGTGTGGTTGGTCTGCTATCCTCTGTTGTGATTTGCTGTGATGTGTGATACAGATCAACAGTGTCAGTCACCCCCGGCTGTAACGCCAGTCCCCCCGAAGGCCTGCAAAACCCCTCATATTAGTCATATCACATCCCTCAAGTCCTTTATCCTTCTCTCTGTGCTCTGTGACCTGACACAGTGGCTCTTTATGCCCCGTGACCTGCTCGTGTGTGTGTGTGTGTGTGTGTGTGTGTGTGTGTGTGTGTGTGCATGCATGCACGCTCGTGTGTTCAAGGTCAGGTCAAACCAGGCCTCTGTTACATGATAACAGGTCTATCTCTGTTCTCCTTGCACACCTCT